GGTGCCCCTTTATATAGGATTTAGTATGGTATGGTTTTATATAGGATTTAGTTTAGCGTTCTGGGAGGGGGATGGTCACTTCGTACCTTTCCCCCCCCCAAGCTTGCCCCCCCCAAAATCCTGCGGGATAGTTGTCAACGATGTAGAGTTTGGGATGAAATGAGGCCTCCGGCTACGAAAGCCCGGAGACTCCACCCAGGGATACTACCCCCGCGCGTTGACGCCCTCCGTGTCGTCAACGCGGCAGTCGCTCAGAATACTAACCCCAGTCAAATCAAATACTTAGCACAGTTGGGTGGGCGGGGACGGCTGTTCTTCCTACCGTACTCTCCCTCCGTTAGGGTTGGGAAGGCTTGTCACGAGTGGGTGCTCGCTCCAAGCTTCTCTGCAGTCAGTCTGTTCTCATCTGCAGAACCCCTTCGCGGTTCCATGATTCCGACGTTATTTTACTGCGGGATAGTTGTCAACGATGTAGAGTTTGGGATGAAATGAGGCCTCCGGCTACGGCACGGGATCCACCCATACTTTGCCTTTCAGCTATTCATGCTGTGTCGGTGCCTGATGTCTGATATTGTATCCCAAACTTCCATAAAGGAAACTAGTAAACCGAGTGTCGAGCCATCAGTCTATGTCCCGAACGCAAACGTCTCCGCGAAGCCTTCTTGCAGTGGCAAATCCACTGCTTGGATATACCGCTGCTCCTGCTCCCTCCGGTCCGGATCTCGCGGACGCTTAGCGGATGAGCCCCCCCCGTGTATCATGGAGCCTACGTATCGCTGGGTTACCCTTCTCGTTCTCTACCCCACTAACTCCATAAGGGCTTCGACGGCCGTCCCCGCGAGGGACTGGCTGACGGCTCCTCCCACCCTAAAGGAGTGCATAGTATACAAGCCGTGGTGGTCGTTCAACCGGCCTTCCCGCATATGACGCTGCAGAGCCGCTGTCATGCTAGCTTCGGTCCACTGGGACGTCCCCCTCGAGCCATCTCCCTGGATCTCGGGAAACAAGTACCCCTCACGCATATTCCAACCCACGGACTTCGCGACAATGAAAAATTCTTGTACCGCTCGGACCGGACACAGTTCGTTATACTTTTCTTATCCCCTTAGCAACGACTGCGTGTGACGAATTGCGGAGCGTCTTGCCAAAGTGAAGGTTGAAAATCATTCCTTGGCCTTCTGGGAGGCGCAACACCTGTGCTGCAAATGCGCATGCCAAATCGGATCCCCGCTGCATCGTGTGGAAGGCGACTACAGACGCCGCGACGTCTCTACTGCGAGCCACTCGCTCCCCCACGGTGTGTTGCTGGTCTGCTGTGTTGCGCATGTGCCGTACGAGCCGTGAAAGGAGCGGGGCCAACATGGGCCTAGCTTGCTTGACGGTAACTCCCGCCCGGCGCTGCTCGGTCTGGGCGTACGAGAGGTACCGACGAACTCCCGCGCTACCGGCCGCATTACCTCGCTTCTCCCTGTCGTCCCACGGATCAGACTTTCCCAATATCTCGACCATGGCTCTCTTGAGTTTCGCGACGAATCCTTTGTCCAATGTTTGGGCCACGTACTTCCCGGACTACAGGATTCCAACGAATTTGACCCGCTCGCGACACAATCGACTGCATGAACCGCCTTCGTGCCGTTACCATGAGAATACAACCAGCACAACCAGCCATGTACGTCTGCGTCGGTGGCGCTCTCCCACCCCCCGGCTCCCTGCTGTGTGCGCTCTCAAAAACGCGTCGAGCTCATCCGCGACGGCGGATTTCCGGCGTTGCCCGGCTGTATTCGCGGAGGCGACTTGGACGGCTTCTTTGCGTGCCGCCAGTCGAACGGCATCGATGACCACGGTTGCCCCGGGAACACGCGGCTCTAACAGCCCCCGAAACGGCTGTACCCCGCAATGTTGACAAAAGTTGAATGTCGCTTCGTTTTGTGCCCCACACGCATTACACAAGACTTGTACCCGGTCCGGCGCGCGCGTGGCCCCGCGGGGGGTGCGCTCTAACGTCATCTGGTCATAATGCTGATGACATACGGACGAAACGAACGATAACAAGGAAACACCACCTGTCAACTTACGATATCGTTTCATAAATGACGAAAGTCTAATTCTACCGCTCGAGTTCCGTGTCTAAAACGTAAACGTATTCGCGAATACCGTCCTGATGGTGAGGATATCCTAAACTCTCCCGTCTCGGCACCACGAGCGATTTGACAGTAGCTCGCCCAACCGGCGGTAGCCAATAATCGTGCACATACATCCGGTATCACGATTACGGCGTGGGCCCGGCATTCGGCGAGATGCTGGATAACGTGACCCACCATGACTGGGGGTGGGAAACAGTACCCAAACACCGGCGTGCCCAACCGCGGTGTAACCGCCACATCCTGACGTAAAACATCTACACCCGCCGTTCCTTCGCACGAGTACCGCGAGAAAAATGGTAGTCGGCACTTTGCCCCTGTGCCACGCTCCACCTTATACTGGGCGTTCTCGGAAGACGCCATGAGGTCTACTGTGAAGTCGCCAAAAAACGGGCGCAACCTCTCAAACGCTGCCGGTCGGAGGCAGACGATCTCTTGCCTCCCCGGCCGCGTAATGTTATCAGCGACTGCGTTCTCTGCCGATGTCACCCACCTCGGGTGAGCCAGAAACCGTGTGCGACCTGCAACTCGAAAAGACTAACCAGCATCGCATGCGTCGAAATAAGAATGAGTACCTAGGTGTGCAAAGAAAAAAAATTCGCACACCCGTGCCGCCACGATTGTTTAATATTTTTATTGCTAATAACACGCTGTTTGATATGTGTCTGACTGTAGATTCCGTCCTCCTTTGCCGACTGTGGGGAAAAAATTGAAAATTTTATTCCGCCTCGTTCAAGTAGTGCATCGGCCATTCACAGCTGAATGACAGGCCTTTTCGCTTCGAACGTTTATCCGCGTCTAGTAACTCGCCGTTACATGTAGTCTAGACTCGACAGCAGTCTGTGTAATTCGCAAATAAATTGGCCGTAAAAGTGGCTCACCTCCCATACATAGGGGTCCAACCAAAAAAATTAAATTATTTCGCGCGAAGCGCGAAAAGAAGGGTCGGAGAGAGACATCAAAGCAAGCTTAGATAGATATGGATGGAGCCTACGCCACTACGTAGGTCACCAGTGCACACGCTCACACCTCACCCGATACCACCAGTCAGTCAGGGGATGAATGGGAGAGATGTTTAGCCCTGATCATCATCAGCTCAGCAACAGCAGTGCTGCTGCTGCTGCTGCTGCTTGCTGTTGCTGCCGGCGCTGCTGCTGCTGCTGTGCATGGGTGCGCACTTGCTTTCTTCGCCTTCGCTACTAGCAGAGGGCAACAGGCTCGAAAACTTGGGCCCGACCCCTCCCACGACGTGCGTATTTGGCCGCCCATGGCTTACAGCGCTGTGTACGTCTCACTTGTCTCTGTTTCTGGGGTGCATCTGTTGTGGAAGCAAAGATCGGCCGGCAGACGAAGAGACAGCAGACAAAGATCTCACTTGTGTGCACTCGCATGTTCCCTCGCTTACGCTGCTAGCAGTAGGCCTCGGGATCTAAAAATAGCTTCCGACGCCAGCCATGATGTGTGCCTTTGGCCGGCCTTGGCCTACAGCAGTGTGTAGGCCTCGGTTTCTCTGTTGTGGGGATACGTCTGTGCGGGAAGCTCCAAAGATCGGTAGGTTGAGGGTGATGCAGACGGACCGCGGGTTGACTTGCGTCGTTACTCGCTTGTGCTGCCGACAGCAGGCAACGGGCCGCAAGAGTCCAACCCAACGCCTCCCATGATGTATGCCTTTGGCTGCCCTTGGCCTACAGCAGTCCATAACTGCTGTGCTGGTTGTATCGCATGTTGTCTACGTGATGTACGTGATGTGTATGGTGCTGCTGTGCGAGAGGATTTCAGTGATTCTGCCGAGAGCGTCGTGCCCATCGCCCAATCATCTGTCTCTGTCTTACAAAATGTCTTACAAACTCGACGGGTGATTGGTGGGAGTCAGGCATCTACCCGGCTCTACCCCTCTAAAACATAGATAATTGTTGGAAGTTCTTCCGTGTCTTACAAAAAAATTGCCTTGTGTATGGGTGCTCTGCCGTAAAAGTAAAAGTGACAACACAACAAGAAATGCCTTTGTGTCTTGTGTGTAGACGACAGTACGGCAGGCAGTGGTCTACTGCTGGATTCTTCCTCCGCATACATATGCTTGTGCGATTTATGCTGATGCGTGCGTACAAACTATGTAGGGCCGCCGACCGTTGACGTTCTCGGCATCTCTTTTCCCGGCGAGTTCAATGGTATCCCTCTTCTGCCACCTGCGTTGAGAGAATCTCCTACGGAACAAGACTGACTCTCTGGTAGATTAATTTTTGAGGTCCCGCGTATGTAGACGAGGGGTAGAAAAGCTGCGCCAGCGTTCCGGGGACGCACACCAAGGCTTCACGCTGGCTCTACTGCCCATCATCCATGGATTTGCGGCAGGTGATGGTGTGCAATCAGTCAAGCTGAGCGTACCCAAGGCGTGAGTTGGTCCCCCTATCAACAACAAGTCCGCCCCCCTACATCATCGCTCGAAGGCAGATCTCCGATTTTTTCAACATGAAGATCTCCCATAGATCTCCCAAGCGATCTCACAGATCTCCGATCTCTTGGTGTCCGTCTCCGCTTGTCTTAGGCATGCGTACGCCGCCTCTCACAAACCACCTTCTTCCGTCTCGCGGTAGCAGCAGCAGCACGGTCGATACCTCGTAGCATTGGCACACCCCCGCCGCCGCCGGTGCTCTGACCATAGTGCGGCCGTGTGGAGTGATCTGCTTCGCTTCGCCTGCTGTGCTGCAAGCTGCTCCGTGTACAGACGACTCTTCGAGGTTCCGGCAGCTGTCTTAGGGTCCCCTGCAGGGCAGAAGGCGCGAAAAGAAGGAGCACGAGAGCACCGCGTTCGCCACGCGTTCCGCACAGCAGCAGCAACAGCAGAAGGCGAAGGGTCTTATGGGCGCGGAGCAGGAGTGCGAGGGGGGAATGCCTGCCGCCCTCGACCAGCGTGATCCGCCGGCGGCAGAGGTTCCAGGTAAAATTTCAAACATATGTTGTGGGTTGTGGGTGGTGTGGGTGGCGCCCATATTGAAGAACCAGCCTTTTGGCCGGCGCCCACATGCAAGGCTGCCGCTGCGTCTGCAACGTTGGCCCGTGCACTCCGCATCACACGAAGACACCGGGCTTGTTTGTTTTGTGTGTACGAGAGGCGTTTGCGTAGCAGAGGAGCGGGCCCGTTTGCCGTTCATCAACCACACCACACACCACCAGGCCAGATAATTCAAATACTCCCGGCCACAGGCGCAATACGTCCACCGTTATTACTGATCCCAAATGTCAAAAGCAGCGTTGAAGAAACACCCCGCTACAGCAGTAGTATTATCGGGGGGCAACGAGAACGGATGTGACTGGCGCTGTGTTTTTTTTGCCTTGCACGGCCTTGAGCACACGCATCGCCGACGCGACTTCGACAGCCCCCCCCAACGTGTCTTGCCAGCTGTCACTTTATTCGTCGGTTGTGTGGGGCAATGCCGCAGTTCCGACACACCGAACTCGATCTGTTTTTTGGTGCATATGACTTGTCGTCTGGTATACACGGGCACGTCTGTACCCCCCGCGCTGGCTCCACCCACTGACGCAACAGGAGGCTGTATTGGTCCGCTGCACTGCTGTCAAACGCTTCGGCTGCATACGCGCTGTTGACGTCATACGATTTGGAACACAAAACGCCAGAGAGAAAAATCTTGTGAAAAACACACCGCGCCGGGCTTTGTTTGCCACCCCTCCACACTGCACACACTCCTGGGAGAAACAAACATCCGATATGGTGGATGCTTGGTGTACCAAAGCTCTCCGGATGTTGAGGGTATCATGCACGCGGAGATGAAGTACGTCAGCTTACACCTAACTTGTTTAGCATTCTCCGAAAATAACCCCAGTCGACGTGAAAAACATGGACGAACATATTTGTACAGCATAGCAACAACGGCAACGAGAGCTGTTGAAAACGGCGTTCACTATTCTGTACAGGAGTAGTACATTGCTCTAGAATGGAATTTATTTATGTGGCTCCAGTGAGCATCAGTAACACGGGCGACTAGAAGTATTCTTGGTAGGATTCAGGGCACTGCTGACCGATGACTTAGCCACGTTGATAACAAGAAGAGCGTTAGTGGAATGGTTTCAAAATCATAGTCTGTTAACTACCACTCTATTCGGAAATATTAGGACCACCGGATACTTTGTTGTTGTCCCAATGGTTTGCAATGGTCTATGTTTGCGACCAGGGTGGCAGTCTATCTTGTACCGCATGTACTGCTGTAGCACACACTCAACTTCGCAACTGGTTTCGTCGTGGGTACTGTAGGCAGGCAAGGGGAGTTGGTTGCACCGGGCTTTTTGCCATGTAAAAGGACCCACCGCCTCATATTTACCGAGACGAGAAAGGCTGGGAATTTCGGTGCCTGGCGCCTCATCTTGTTTGTCGGCAGCACCGGAGGGGCCTTATTGTAAATATTGTAGCGAGGTCGCTCCATTCTTGATTTTATGATCAACCTCCGCCGAACTTTTTGTCGCCGCTCGATGCGATGACAGCAGGTCCGGAATGCCCAGCAGCAGCGTCTGAAGCATCCGTCTCGTCCGCTCCGTCTGTGGAAGAAGATAGTGAGTGGAGAGGCCCACTTTCGTGCATGAGGTTTCTCATCGTCGTACCTACCCGCCCATTGTTTCCATTGATCGGCAATGTTCTCGCGGGGACACAAGCGTTATCAAACTAGACAATGTCCATCCGACATCAAATCACTTCGTTCACCTGCTCAACAACCCTGCCGCATCATGTTAGTGCCAGCGAGAGTAGTGCACCATGTCGATAGAGCGTTCTACTACAGAACCTCGGGCATTCGGAGTACCCTGGAGGGCTGCAAGAGTAAATAGATTGTTGATTTTTATATTTTCAAGGTTAGACTATACCCTCAAGTATGATCACGGAAGGATTCCGGTCAGTTGGACCGGTACAGATGATAGCAGGTAGCCCGGCACCTTTTTAACGCGAAGAAAACAACAATAATTAATAGTAGTCGAGCAGCGACACTCCTCCTCAGCAATAGAGGACAACCGCAGCATGCTATTGTCCAACCACGGGACTCGAGAGGAATAAGAGCCTGCCCTCTGATTGGAGGGCTCGTCTCGAGCCGGGTGCCGGCTGGATCAACAGTTATTGTCAAGGATAAGATATGCTTCCCTATTCCTGGAGGCCTCGTCTGTGACCGTTTGCTGGTTGGCGCTAGTGACAAGGATAAGACAGTACCGCCCTATTTATGTAGTTCAGAGAGGCCGAACCTCGCGAAGCGTGGAAGTAGCCGGTTCACAGGTACCGCCCGTCCTTGTCGCCGCCCTATGAAGAAACGACGTCAGACCGGGCAGCAGCGGAGTCGGCAGACAAGTCCCCATCATGTGCGGAAGAGAACGGTGAGTGGGGACCGATTCTTATCATGTACACCGATCGATGTTGGTGTCGATGTTATCTTACAGAACACTGCTTTTAACCCCCCAATACAGCAAGGAACTTGATTGCCGGCGTGGTATGTACAAGAGACTAAGGGCCGACCAAGGACAATCTCAGTTTTATCACCCGTATCGGCGGGGCGTAGCAGCTCCGCGCAACCTCACACCTTCGTACGTACTTCTAAATAGGCGGCAGGTGCCTCTTTGCCGCTCGGGCCGGTGCACTGCAGTAGTCAGGGGCTTTTCGTGTCTTGGGTAGGCGTGGTTCCGCTGAACGTTGTCGTTGTTTGGTTTTGATGAAAGCAGGGGCAGCAGATACGGCAGATGGGGCAGATGGGGCAAACATAGCTGAAGCGGAGGCCACAGCCTCATCCCCGACACCGGCGGAAGAAGAGAAGGATGATGGTGAGCGGAGACGAGTCATGAGGCAGCTGATTTTTTAGACCGGAGGATATTGTTGTTTGATGTAGCGCTCAGGAGACGCCCGCAGCAGTTGCCCTGATATGACGGAACTGAGAGACTGCTCTGCCACACGGCTGAATGGACTGTTTGTTTTTCTAGGCAGAGTGGTGGGTCAGATAAAACGTGCTGAGCAGAGAGATTGGAACGGTTTTCAGTGTGAAGACAACAACGACAGCAACAACAACAACAGCAACAACAACAATTGTCAGCAAGGCGTGAGAAACAAGTAGGCCGGTGGCAGGCTTTCTATTCTTCATCGGAACCGGCTGGTAGCAGCAAAGTCGCTGAATGAAGTGGTCCGTCCCTCTATGTCACGGAAGCAGGCCCCACTGGCCCAGCAGACTCGGGAGCAGCGGAACCGCCAGCGTCATGCTCGCCTTCTACGGTTGAGGACGGTGAGTGGGCAAGCTAGAGTGATGTAGAAGTTGCCGGTATCGTCGTCATCGTTGTTGTCGTCCGAATGCGCTTCCAGCTACTTGCTGCCAGAAGGGTCCATGTCGATGGACCCCAATCCGCGACGATCTGGTGTCATCCGAGACCGCCACGTTTTGATGCGCTGCTCGACAACTACTGCTGTGCCGCACAAAGCCATCGATAGAGTACAAAATATCGCACTCTTTATGGCGGAAGCTAAACGGTTTATTTCGCAAGAATAGGGCGGTTGTTAAATGTATTATGAGAACTGAGAGGGCAGCAAGAAGAGGGATAGGATAGCAAGAGGCATTGCAACAGGGACACCGGCTCCATAGCGAGATGACCGAACTCAGGGGCTGCACAGCCGGACAGCAACGTGAACCTTCTCCTGTTCGAATAGTAAGCGTTGGGCAGCTGCCACGTTCTTGATTGGATCGATCGGACGGTCTTGCGTGCTACCGAACTCTGTCGCCACGTGCAGCAGGCACAGCAACAGCAACAGCGGACGCGGAAGCTTCGTGCCCGCCACCGTCTGCGGAGGAAGACGGTGAGTGGCGAAGGCACGCTCGCATCGATGATGTTGTCGTTGCTGTCGTCGTTTGTGGTTGTCGTCACCGTCTGGGACGGCAATAACATTGATTTCGCTGGAGGAACGGCAACTGCTGTCCTCAAATGACTCGACTCGGAGGGAATGCACACAGCTTGATGTCTGATTGGCGGTCTTGTCTACACCCGGCGCCGAGAGATGGTCCTAAGTTCGAGCATATGTAGAGCAGTGCTGATATGGCGGGGGATGTTTTCACCTCTAGGTCGGAATTAAACCGATGGCATTACCGCCGAAGTTCGTCGCCCATTCGCGCAAAGGTGGTCCTGACTTGGACCATGTGCAGGGCAGGTAGCAGGGACGCTCCCGTTCGTGATTGGAGTTTTTTTTTGTGCCGAAACTTGTCGTTGATTAGCAGGCCCGGCAGCCTCAGCAGCAGCGAAGGCGGCGGTTTCTGCCACTCCTTTTGAGGAAGAGGACGGTGAGCGGCGGGGACATGTCGTGTGCATGCCGACGTCGTTGGTGACGGTGTTTGTTGCTTTTCGTTTGATTGATATTGTCGTCGCCGTCGTGTTGGCCGTCGTGTTGGTTGTGGTGCTTGCGTTGTTGTTGGTGGTTTGTTCTCACCGATGCCGTCTACGTGCGCTCCACCCGTCCTTCGGCTGTTCTACCACAATTGAGTGTGGATGATTCCGAGCCATGGCATACCGAATTCGTCACCCGAAACTAATTCACTTCGCTGAGCTGTTTGCGAGCCAAAATCGTGCCGCACGCTTCGAGAGAGGTCGAGTAGCACGCCTCCCCCCGGAGAAGTTCTCGCAAAAGAGCGACAACTAAGGTGTCTGATCAAAGGGGGGGGGGGCAAACACCCAGCAACGAGCAAACACCGCTCCTAGCTACTGGTATTTGTTGGCGACAGAGATCAGAGGAAGCTTCACGGCTAGCCCTCTTTGAAGTATCTCCAAGTCAACTGTCGATTGTTTCTTTTTCAAGTAAGGCCAATGCCGCAGTAACTAGGCTGCTCGGTTATTGGCGCAGGCAGAGGTCGGCAGGAGCAAGGGCTGCTCCGTTCTCGATTGAAGTCAGCTGATCGGAATTCTACCGCACTTTTTTCCCCTCTTGATGCAATGACGGCAGGAGGCCCGGTGGGGGCGGAAGCAGCGGCCTCATCCCCGCCGCCTGCGGAAGATGGAGGTGAGCAGCTTTTCGTTGTTATTGTGCTGTTGTTGTTGTTGTTGTTGTTGTTGTTGTTGTTGTTGTTAAGCAACTGATCCGCATGCTGCCGAACTTTTGACGATTGGACGCAGGCCTGGGCTCAGCAACAGCGGAAGTAGCAGCCGCGTCTCCCCCACCTGCGGCAGACGACGGTGAGTGAGAAAGACTACTGTCACCGGGCGCCGTATCTGTTGTTCGCCCCTTTGCACAGCGCTGTTCCCTTGGATGCAAAAGTCCCCGCGCTGTAAACGCCGCCGGAATATGTGAAACTCCCATGAGCTCTTATCGGGGGGTCGGGAGGCGTTTCCCACCGCGTACGTCTTTGTGTTGATGCCAAGGGTCTTGTCGTGTTAATGTTTACGTCCAGTAGAGCTGCGATCAAAGTGTTGTGTTTATTAGTTGCTCCAGCCGTACCGAAACAAAGGGAAAGGACTCCCGGTGGGTGAGACTGACCTCGTGTGCGTGTCTCTTCGTCCACACACATGTCCACAAATTCTCAAAATCCTCCCAACTTCAACTCTGCTGACAGTCCATACTTGCGTTCCGAGAATCTAAGATTCTATCCAATCCTCTCAAAAGACCTGTCAAATCTCTCAAACTTATTCACCGATAATATACCGATCCGCCTCACAATCCTCCGATAGTTCAGTACCCTTTCAAACATTTCCCGCTTTTTCCCACCTAGTCTCCAAGTAGTGTACGCCTGACTGTACTCAATTCACACCAGCCCTGTTTCATACCACAATTTTACCCGAAGTTACCCGGTATTTTCCCAGTTCCAAGAAAAGCGGCCCGATTGCACCACACTCTCACGAAGAACGTATTTTGAGCAGCATTGAAGAATATTACAACTAGCCCGTGAATATGTTGCTTTTGGTTGGAAATCATGCAACAATAGGTTGTTGCCCGAGACGCTGGCAACCAGGTGCATGTAGACCGATTCTTGCCCATCACAGAAAAAAATGAACGAATGGGAATGCCCTAAGCTAGCCTAAGACGGCGGGATCCAGGGGGCGTCTACGTGTCCTCACGCCTGACAGTGGGAAGTCATTTCACCGCTACATTCACTCACAACAGTCGGAAGAAAGAACACATCCAACCCTCGCCACATACAATGCCGTCGGTTTATGGAGATGCAGAATGCACCGAGTACCTCTACTCCGAGGCTGGTTTGCCACAACTCACATTCTGTGTGTTCTCGACTTCCCGCGCAGACCAACATGCGGTCGAACTAACGACCAAGCTGTGGGCGGACACGGTAACGCTTGGCACCTTCGACGCACCGAGAAAGGCGGCGGATCTCTACGCCCCGGACGGCGTTCTCTGGGGCACGGAAGCCTTCGCCTTCGACGACCCCCTCTGGGAGTACGCCTCAGAGCTGGTCCGGAACACCCCGGAACAGATCTACGCTTACTACGTGAGTGGTGTGGTGTTAGGTCTGCTTAATTGTTGTTTTTTTTCTTTCTATTTTTTGTCAGTATGACCCAACGAATCCATCTCCATCGAAGAAAATAGTCTATAAGATAGATTAGCAATCAATCCATAGCGTCAGCGAAAGTTCTGTTTTTCCACGATTGCCCGAGCAGCACACAGTTGTTGGCCTACGCTTGTTCTGTGAGTTGTTGGACATGCTTGTTGTTGTTGTTGTTGTTGTTGTTGTCGCTAGTCCGTGAGACGGCTGAATATAGACCGACCGTTGTTGTGTGAGCTGTTGGACATGCTTGTTGTCGGCGGTCCGTGAAACGGCTGAACAGACCTGCACGTGCTATGCGAGTTTGTTCGGCTGCTGGTTGTTGTTGTCGGTCGGTGCTTTTGGCGTTTGATGGTGGTGGTGGTGATAGCGGGTGATGCGACGTGATGTTCCTCTCGCGGGTGGCACATGGACGGCGTCATGGCCCAGATGTAGGAGTCGTTGCGGTTGGTGCTGCTGCTTAACGTCGCACCAAGGAGCGCCAGCAAACATCTTGTCCCAACCCAAACCCGAGGGAGCACAGAGGAAGGTACAGGCCAACGGCAGTTAATGCGAACGGCTACAGAACGGTACGCCGACAGCGAAAATGTTAGGTCAAGCCGCTAAAACCTTTTGGTTTGTGACCCCCCCTCCCCCACGACGCCTTCCGAAGGACTACTTCGCCCGGCTGCCCGAGCTCAGGCTGGTGGAGTTCACGGCAGCGCCGGCGCGCGTCCGCGGCGACTTCGCCTCCCAGTCCGGCACCCACACCTTCTCGTGGAGGGGGGCCGGCGGCCAGGAAGAGTATACGGTGGAGGTACGGGCGCGCTTCAGCCTGACGTTCAGGAGGGACCGTTGCAGCTGCGGGGGTCCCAGTGAGTGGGCGATCGTGGAGCACTGCACGTTCTCGATGCCCACCGCCGCCGCCGCCGCCGCCGCTGCCGCCGCCGCCACCCCGCCCTCGGCACGGGTGCTCAAGCACGTGAGAATGGGAGTGTGGAAGGGGGGGGGGGGGAGGGGGGTACTCTTATGTTTTGCATGCCTTAGCGGTTGGGGGGCGGCGTGGTTTGGTTGGCTTCTTCGGGAAGAGGCGCGTGTTTGGTTGTCTCTGTTGTTGTGCTGTCCTTCTTTGGTGCTGTTGTTTGTCTTGACGGCCCTTCGGAGTTGGCCAATCTCGTACGTCAAAGCAGATTTGGTCCTTTCCTTCTCGTTGTTGTCTCATCTCATCTCGTACAAAAAACGAGCCTTGACATATGTGTTCGTTGTTGTTGGGTCTTTTTTTGGCGAGGGAGGTGTTTCTTGCGAGGGGGGCGAGAGAGAGGTTTGGCCCCCGAGTGAAATATTGCCCTCTACTTTTATTTCGAGATCCGCCAATGTACTTTCAAGCATCTTTCATGTGCGCCAACAAAAATCGAGGGAGCTAGATAGGCCTGTCTGTGTGACTGACCCCTTCAGAAATCAGAACTGTTTCGGGTCGAAAACTCCGTAACCACTGAAGCTTGACACACACGACACCCTTGTTTCGAAAATTTTTCCAAAGAGGCGGCTTGTTCCTCCACCGTGAGCCGGGATTCGAAGCGGTTAGTTTGCGATTGGGTTGGATGAGGCCTTACCCCCCCGGAGAGGATGCCGGTTGGTCTCCTGCGGCGAGAGAGGGGGAGGGGGAGAGGGGGAGGGAGGGAGAGAGAGAGAGACAGACAGAGAGCGAGCGAGAGACAGACAGACAGACAGACAGACAGAGAAGGAGAGAGAGCTCCAAGCACAGCGCCGAATGGTTTCTTGTTCTTCTCTCGAGTCCATCTATCCCGTAGACGTGCCTTATACTATGTTGCTGTCGAAGCCAATCCTCCCGGCTTGACTACCTTCCCACGAACGGAAGCATACGTCACTATGTCATGAATTTGTCTGTGTTCGAGTTTCGCCAAACACGGTTTCACGAAGGGCAAAGTGTTGTTCTTGAGCTTCCCTTCGGGAGCACCAGGCACGGAGAATAGGGGCGCGGGTCTCTGCCTTGCGTCCTCTACGGTGCACATTATCAGCGTGCGTGGGATAAGTGGAGTTTCTCTCTGTTTGAAACCCGAGATAGGCGATATCGGCTCGCGTACACAACACGGATATCGCCTATCTCGGGTTTCACACAGAGAGAGATTTATGCCACGCACGCAAGACAACGTGCACCGTAGAGGACGCAAGGCAGCCCCGCGAACCGTTCTCAAAGATAATCACTGCCCAACACCCTTTGCAGGATGCAGCGCACCTTTCATGCGACTCGCCGAATACCTCACGGCGCTTCGCGCTTGGTGATGTGAGAGCCTGGTCCGGTGAGAACCCGGCGTGCTCCGTCCCAGCTTTGTACCCAGGGATGCGAGGTCAATGGTCTAACGACTACGCCATGCACAACTATGAGTACCCCCCCCCCCTCCCCCCCCCCCCCCCCCGG